TGCCAACTCTGTGCTTTTTCACGCTTCTCTCAACTGAAGCAGGTGGGAGCTAAATAGGTGTTTGAAACCTCTCTGGAGTTTATCCTGAGCCTGGAAACTGGAAAATTTTTTTTTTTTGCAACTCACACCATCTTGTATCCTCTCCAGCTTTCTTCCTGCCGTTTGGTATCTTTGGTTTTCGTTAGTGTTTTGTTGTTACATCTCGTTATTAAGTCTTTCTCGAGTGCCTCTCTCCTTCCTTCCAATCACGGCAGAGTTGTCAGCTTCATTTGTCACAGCAGTGGGGGGGAAAAAAAAAAAAAAAAGTTTTCTCTTTTTCAAAAACTTCAGTTCATCTCAGCCCATTTTTGTACAGTTGCTTAGAAGAGGTTTGAGTGAATAGAAAATAGGAAAAAAAAGCGTAATGTGAGCAAGTCTCTGGTCTGAAGTGCTTATGATCAATTCCCAGAAGGAGACAAGCAATCTGTGATGGATTTTACTGCTTAACAGTTTGGGTTCTACTAAAAGCAAAAAATGCATCAGTTTTCCCTATGGCTACATGTACCTGAGTCTTCCATACACAGACAGAGGTCAACACTTTGAGACTTGCAAAAAAAGAAGCTCACCTATAAGATACTGGGACAAATCTGGTTGCTGATAGAATCTACCTGCTGTTCCATGAAAGATTTTACAGCCTCTATTGACAAGTGTCAAATAAAAATGAATGCTTCCCCAAGTAAAAACACTCATTTTGTAAAGCAAATCAACTTTATTTTCTTTGAGAATCATCATATTTTTCATGCATTCAGTATATCCATCAATTATTTCATATCTCCTGCATATCCCTTCTATGCCTCTGCTACAGCATGCCAAAAACATAATGTGCAACATGTGTGCCTTTTTACTGTGGAATTTATATACATGCTTTGCAAATGTTTTAGTAATGAGGATTTGTTTGACTTCGCTATGCAGAATTTCTATCTGCAGAGATGATGGGTCAGTTACCTCGGCATGCTAATAGCTTAATTCATCACAGCCCAATCCGTCTTCTGAATAATTTCCTTTATAATTCTTGGATAATATAAAGGCATCTAAATACTGTGTATGGAGCATTGAAGTTTATCAGAAAGCTGTTAAATTAAATAAAAATAAAACTAAATTGTGACATCATCATGAAAAAAAGCATACCTTCTTTATGCCCAGCAGCAAAGTATACATTTTACACCTAAATTATGGCATTGTAGATATACACTAGGCTAATTTAGATGCATCAGTAGCATTAGTCATATTTCTTTGTCACAGGACTTGACGTTTTGCAATAATGTATGATCCCACATCCATGGCAACCAGCAGGATTACCAAGGCTATAGTCTGGCAGCAGTAACTTAGAATACTGTCATCAGTTCTGAGGAGCACATAAAAAAGAACAAACTATGTGAACATCAATATATGTGCCAGCTGCATCTCTGCTTCTGATAATATTTAAACGACTAGCTTACAGAGATGTTTAAATTAAATTTAGCCTCAGGCTTTATTTGAGTCATCTTTAACTCTGGTTGACCTAAACAGGAAGAGTCGGAGCCAAAACGCGGCTTTGAAAAAGGAGGCAGTTTGTAACATTGATAATTCATTTTTCTTTCTGAGATCAAATGTTGGATAACTTAGTGAAATTTGATGTTTTCCTTTGGTAAAAAAAATCAAAACCTATGACAATTTTTTTTTCATCTCTGATGTAAAAAAATACATTTGTAGAAGATTTCTAAATGACAGCATTTGCTTAATGTATGTCTAAATAGTATTTCAAAACATGTTTTCTACAGTATATACCATCTAAATTGAAAATGTAACATAACATCTCTCTTCTGTAGTTAAAGGTATAGTGGAATTTATTTATTTTTTTTAAAAGACCTGCCCTCTCCACTTAGACTTAGACTTCCTTCTGTCAGTGAGCCCCAGGGCAGCTGTGGCTACAATGTAGCTTGCCACTATCAGTGTGTGAGTGTGTGTGTGAATGGGTGAATGAATGTAGTGTAAAGCGCTTTGGTCAAGTCTCCTAACTTGAATAAAGGCGCTATATAAGTACATGCCATTTACCATTTACCATTTCCTTTATTGTCATTGCACAAAAAACACAAGGTGAATCTTGACAACAAAATGTTGATTACTTGGCTACCAGTGTAACAGAGCTAAGACCTTATTCCTGCACAATAAATATGTTTTCTATGAGTAAGAGCTAGCTATATACAGGGTAAGAGTATATAATACTCTCCTCGTGCACGCTCTTTTTGAAAGCTGCTGTTTGCATCTCTCACACAAGCTTACTGTCTAAAAGAAGATTTTCAATTTTTTTCCCCTATGTCAGACTCACTGGTACGGTAAGTTAAAATGTTGACGAGCAAGTAGGACGGCCTTACTTAAATATATCACCAGAATGATTGACTATTAGGAGGACCACTTATTTAGATGATCCACCCGGAAAAAGAACATCCTCCACTAGGGGTGTGGGAAATAATTGTTTTGGCGATATATCGTGATATTCGGCTGCCCAATATACTGTAATAGCGATCTTTCACTTCTTAGTATCGATAAAAAAAAAACAAAATGGTTACATAAAACATTGATGGGAAAATGGGCTACCTCTGCACCACCACTCTGGCAGAAAGCGCTGTGGAGCCCTTTAACTGTGCGTGCAGCACCAAATCTGTATTTGAGGCAGTCACAGTGGAAGAAAACCTCAAACAACATAGATAATAATACCTAATCAATATTTTCTGATGAAAATATACAACACTTGCTGTTTTATCTCATTTGATTTTGATGGCTGGGGAAAATATGGCATTATATAGTGATACTGCAATATCGTGATAATATCGTATCGTGACCCAAGTATCGCAACATGTATCGAATCGCAACACTCATGCCAATACTCACCTCTATCCTCCACTTTACCTCAAAATATCAGAAGTACTTCTATATTTCCAAAAACTGCCAGCGTTTTAAAAACACAGTAGGTAACTTTTGGAAGAGCCTGAGGTATAAAAGCTTTCCTGTCCTCTGCTTTAATCCTGCTCGCCGTTCCAACACAGGTACCTCTGTTCAAATCAAACGTCATCTTACTGAATTTTTAATCCTACCACTGATCCTAAAAATAACCATCTTTAATATGAGGCCATTATAATGGGATGCATCCTTATTTCCTGTTTATTATAGAATAAGCTGTCTCCATACACAACTCATAAATACTAAATTCAGTCACATTTTTAATGAAACAATGATGCTGTTTTTTTCTTCTCATGTCAGATTCCAACCGAGTGTTTTGTAGTGGTGAATACATTCCGAAGCAACAAAGTGGACTTAATTAATGAGGATTTAAAAGTGCTTAAAAATGAATAACCTTTTCCCCAGACAGCAACAACGGTATTAACCAATTCTCTAAATGGGCAGCTGGCAGGAACATGGCTTGTCGAGTTGCTAAATGCTCCCAGCAACACATGAATGGGAGGCCTGATTATTTCGTCGCTAATGATTCATTGGCTTGCACACATAACATTGGGCCAGTGTAAGCACCACAGGGGACGCGTCTTTCTGTCTGTGTTAACATTACATCTTGAGACATTTGTCCCTCTTATAATCATCACTATAAAAACATCGTGTGTAATGAGCCACCTTCTCAACAAGTAGGGAAGACTTTCCCCTCGCCACATTCTTTACTATTTATAATTTAACCCATCATTAAGTTTGCTTGCAGTCAAAGTAAAATCATAATATTTTTATGCTTTCACTTGTGAATTCACATATTTACCAATAAGCAAGCCTGGAGTATAAAGCCTCCTCTATCAGGCTTCATATTTTGTAGCAGCAGATCTTTTTTCCTTTCTTATTGCCTCTCCGGTGCGCTGAGCACATTTGTGATAAACCCTTACAATCTAAGGAATGTAATTTTAACATCGGGATGGAACGTGATTAGGTTGAAATGAAAGCTTTCAGTGATAAACAGGGTCTCAGAAACGGCAGCGGCATGAAGCAAAACATCTTAAGGGAAGAAGAAAAAAAAAAAAAACCCAGGCTGCTTTAATTGTGCAGAGCCAGCGTGAGAGATATTGCTGTGAATTACAGCCACCGTAAACCGCACAGGCGGATACGCAGAGCGGCATAAATTCATATGCAGACACACAAACACAGACACACTTAAGTATAATACTCTGCTTCTGAATATGTAGTAAATCAAACAGAGGAGCAGACACATTTCAACTTGTTTATATGCAGATTTTGCAGTGTTTGGGAGATGAAATAGAGCAAATACATGGAAAAAAAGATGTGTTATTTTTGCCTTCAGATCAATTCAGTGTTATAAACACAAAGGAATAATTCTTTTTAGGCGGCTGCATAGATGTACAGGTAGCAGATCCAAATATTAAAAAGAACTCATCCCAAGTATCTGATATATGTACTGGTGTTCTTACTAACATGCTGTGCATCATTCTGTTACTGTTGGGTTGCTCAGTTCTGGATGCAAATGGAGGTTAATCTTCTGCTGAGAGGTTTAGCAACAGATTCGGCAGCAAATGAAAGCTACTTAGAACTGGCATATCATCTCTACTACCAAAGGTTTTGGCAGTATTTCACTGCATTATTCTTCTGTGTTGTTTTGTGAGAATAAAAAATCTTGAAAGAATTTAAATAACTTGGCTAACTTGCATGGCCCGTACAGTTTTTCATTGTGGTGAAAAAGAAAACAGCCAAGGGTTATACTGTGATACTTCATGTGTTACACGTTTTCCTTCATAAGACAGATTTTTGGCTCTGTTAATGAGTGCTGGTTATCATATTATGGAACGCTATGGGGATTTTCCTCCATCTGGATGAGGAATCATGGGAAAAAATTACCTTTTTTATTTGAAAAAAGGCAAACCTGGCAACTTAAATCAGTCGGTGATTAACTGGCTGTCCAGTTAACACATTATTGTGTGGAAAAAAGATTGCTGTATGTAAAACAGTTCCTTTTTCATGTGTCTCCTCAGCTGGTGGCAGTGTACGAAGAGCAGGACCCACACAATGGAGGTGATGGAACCAGCGCCAGCTCCACAGGAACCCAGAGTCCAGACCCTTTTGCCGGTGAGATGAATGCAGCATCAGCATTCCAACCTTACCAAGCTGCCAGTGAGATCGAAGTCACAACATCTGCTCTACGATCAAGTAAGTCTCAGGTTTTTATGCTAGAATTTTAAGGAGGTCATCCAAAAAAAAAAAAAGAAAAAAAAGAAAAAAAAAAAAAGAAAAGAAAATTTGTATGTGTTCAGTTTCTTTTTTCATAATAGAGTAAAAGTTTCATAAATTTCAAAATGTGTTTTGAAGAAATGATCAACAGAAATATTAATTTCAGGTTTAGATCAGTTTAAGGAATTTTCTATATTTGAAGCAGAGATTTACGGAGTCCCCTAGGGGACATGGGGAATTTTTTTTCTGTTTTGCGTTCCCTCGCAAAAGTATTGTGTTACCTCGCAAAATTTTGCATTACCTCGCAAAACCTTTTGCATTACCTCGCAAAACCTTTTGCATTACCTCGCAAAACCTTTTGTGAAAGTTTTGCGTTCCCACGCCAAATCTTACTTCGGTAAAGTTAGAAAGATATTCACAGATTCGGACTTCCGGGATCAATAACTCTCGTTGTTGAAACACAAATGGCGTCTCTTTCATGTCCTGATAGCACAGACTACGTATTACAACAATCAAAAAGCGTTATTTTCGAGAAAAAACGAGCCGTTCTCCAAGCTGGATGTATTACATTGATCTCTATGCACAGGCAGCGGCCAGGGGAGCGGTTAGGGACCGTCTGCAAATGGTAAAACAACAGCAAAACGTTGCAAAAAACAATCAATAACTCCACTGCCATAAAGTGCAGAGACTCCAAAATTACCAAACACACCAAGGGGCTCTTGGTGATCGCACTACTGTGAATATCTTTCTAACTTTACCGAAGTAAGGTTTTGCGTTCTCACGCAAAAGGTTTTGGATGGGAACGCAAAACTTTCGCTAAAGGTTTTGCGAGGTAATGCAAAATTTTGAGAGGTAACGCAAAAGAAAAAATAAATCCCCATGTCCCCCAGGGGGCTCCGTAGAGATTATCACTTTGAGCAATATTCATCCCATAATAGATCGCTTAGCACACAGTGATTGCTGGCTAATATATATCCTGTGTGTTATCTACCTGTTTTTTAATGCTAATGTAACATTTAACCCGTCGGACAGAGTCTCATGGCGGCAGATGCCCACACCATGTACAAATATCATGGTCCAAAATGTTAAAGGCCACAGAGTGGGAAGCACAGATGAGAAAGGAAGAAAATTCTTTTAATATTTAACAGATTTTCTAATATCATGCAGCTTCTCTGAAACATTCTAAAGCAATGGAGGAAAAATAAAAAGCTGACATAGCCAAGCAGTATTTTATCAATGAGAGGAATTTACAAAGTAGGTGCTGATTTTAAAGTAGATAGCTGAAACCTTTCATTAAACTAAGGAAATGAAGGTTTTCTAACAGTTGTACATTTAGCACACACTGTAGTTAACCTCAGTTCTTTTGTCTGCTTTTCTCAAATTTCCTAAGATGTTTCTTTGGTACTTAGATGACTTTTATTAGCTAACTCAACAAGCTCTTTTTTAGTCTAAAAAATCTAGATAAGTCATTTTTTTCTTAAAATAAGTGAATTTGTTCTTAATTTGAGGAGGTAAAAGAAACATTTTGCCAATGGAACAAGACAATTTACATTTAAAATAACAAAACACACTTGCATTGTTTTATTTCAAGTGCATATTACCTAATTATCTTGTTTTAAGAGTTAAAATACTCATTCCATTGGCAAATCATCTAATTTAACTATTCATATTATGGGTAAATACATTTAATTTAAGACATTTTTACTTATTTCTAGATCGTTTCTCCAGTGTACTGTCAAAGAAAGTGTCTATATAACGAAGGATGCATAGCCTAAAATCTAACCTTAATGACCAACACAAATTCATTATTACAGATTTATGGCAGTTATTTGGTGCTTTGCTTAAAAGTTTTCACTTTACTGAAGAGTTCAGTAGAATAAGTGTTGAATCTTGTTGAATATCTAAGGCTAAAATCTTAGGCATCTTTTGAATTGATTACTAATTTGAACATTTCTGGAACAATATAGTTTGGAGTGTAAAAAAATCTCAAACTAAGATTAGTTTTTTTTTTTTCTGTGTTCCTTTTATGTTATTTGAAACGCAGAGCTGTGTTTAACCTGACTGCCACAGATAACAGAAAATAATAACTTCTAAGATTTAAGGCCATCTAATGCTACACTTCACCTTTCTGGTTTGTTGTCATGTATGTCCTTTTGTGTCCCAGTTTGAAACACAGTAAGAGCTTAGATTGAAGGAGCAGCTTCAGGTCAGGAAGAAATATGACATGGAGAGAATTTGGACAGAGAAACCAAACCACTGTGGAGCAGGACAGAAGTCAACCACAAACCATGGAGCAATTTTTTATGACTTAAAGCAAAAAAAAAAAAAAAAAAATGGCAGCAGCGTAGGTGATGGTTAATGATGAGACAGATGCACTAAACAAAGGAATCATAAGAGTAGAATCCAAACTGCAAAAAATCTAAACCTAGATAAGTCATTTTTTTCTTAAAATAAGTGCATTTGTTCTTGAATTGAGGAGGCAAAAGAGACATTTTGCCAATGGAACAAGACAATTTACACTTAAAATAAAAAATCATAATTGCATTGTCTTATTGGAAGTACATGTTATCTAATTATCTTACTGTAAGAGTAAAATTACTCATTCCATTGGCAAACTATCTCATTTACCTGCCTAAATTAAGGGTAAATACACTTACTTTAAGAAATTTTTACTTATTTCTAGATCGTTTTTGCAGTGACAAGGGATTATTTAGGTCATGTGAATCCATAACAACAGCAGTGCTGAGACCCCAAGCAGAATAATAAGAGAAAATATATACAAAAGTGCAAATTAAAGACAAAAGTACATTTTAAAGATGAAGAATACTGTTCTTTGCTTTGAAAAAATTAGGTAAAAATACATTTTTTTATCCTAAACAGGACTCAAGTAACGCATAGGGTCTAATTACATCCTGCAACATTTGGTTTTGTTGCTTTAACCCCAGAATCATACTGTATAAATGGCTTATCTGTAGAACCTGACTGCATGTAATAGTGTCCAACCGTGCGATTCGTAGGTTTAGAATCTATGATGCATGCCATCCCCTACAAATGTGTGTGAAAACAAAATAAAATGTAGGAATAATCCACCTGAGACTTTACAAAATGATTGTTTCTATTTTAAAAATCTTAAGATTAGAGATCAACGGATATCTTTGCATCGCCGCTAAACAGTGTAATCATGAAAGCAAGGATTCAAAAAGAAAATCTTTTTTGAAAACTTCAGTTTTCAACTTCAGACATACTGTAAAAAATATGTTATCACATAAATGCATTAGTCTTTGGTTTAACTGTTATCAGTCCTGTGATATTATTGTTAGCTAAAGGGACAGCTCTAATGATGCCAGGCAAACTGATCTTACTCTCCTATTCAAATTGAATTAGAAGAGCAGAATGTTTGCCGTAAACAGAAGCGATGCTTAAAATCATTCTTTACTGTCAGCCGTGGTTAAATTCAGAAAAACGGATGCTGTCAACATCACTTTGCGTTGGATGAGCTTTACGGCAAAGTCACTGCTGCCAGTGGTTCTTTGTCCAAATCAGCCATTTATTAAACCATCAAGAACCTCGATTAATCAGGTTCAACAGCTCCAATTAAAGCTTCAGGTTCTACTAAAGAGTGATCCGCTGGCCATCATTATAGAGCTTACTCAGTGATGGCAGAGACTTAGCCATAAGGCCTAAGAGAAATATTGAAAGGAGAACCTGACATCTTTTTCAGTTGTCCTCTGCAGTCCTATGTGGTGGACAGAGGTCAGGTTGTTTATTTTTTCAATGAAGCCTTTATCAGATTATCTGAAAAAGACAAATTACTTGAGGGGTTGGCTCATACTAAACAATTTTGGCTCAAGAATAATTTTGTTTAAAGCTCTGCTCCCAATAAAGATACTTTTTTTTAATCATATGTCACAAAGTAAAGGAACTAAGTGGCTTAAATATCCATGATCAGGAGAGTCTTTAGCTATGAATTACATAGGTTTGTGCTGTATAAATCATTTTATTTGCAATAGTTTTTCTCTGATAGCAAGTTTGAATATCCCCTCCAAGAGTTGCTTAGAATTGTCTTTATTTGTGGTGAGGCCGGATGGGTTCATATATGTCCATACATGGAGAAGCAGATGGACAGGTCTGGCAGGAGTTGGTCCCTCTAGGGATGCAGATGAGCAAATTACTGGCGGTAATATTTCATATCAGACTTGAAAGCTTTGCAGTGCTGCCCTTGGCAGCTGTACTCTCAGGCAGAGAATTATTTCTATTTAAAATCATTATCTTCTAGAGCCATATTGATCCCCCCCCCTCCTCCGCACAACTCCCAAAGTCCCAAACTCTACCTCCTATTTTTTTTGTCCTCCTCCCATCCCTCGCTTCCATCTTGGTCGCCTATTTTAGATTTTCATGCTTTGCAGGTCAAACTGCTAATAATTGGATTGGAGATGAGATGTAAATTACAATAATGAATGTAATTTGCCTGTAATTATACAGATACCAGAGCTGTCTGCTCTATTTTGCACTAAACACTAATCTTTTAGAAGTAAAAGCAAACTGCTGAAACTTTAGATTAGAATTGGATCTTAACAGCTCTCTCTTTGTAATTAAATGTTGTGCGTCCCTCTATGCTTAGCTGACATGTTTTTCATTTTTCTTGATATATTTCTGGTTACAAGTTAACATGCGGCAGAAATAGAACACCATGTTATTATGTTTTTGACACTTATTCGAGTCTGAAGTAAAGTTACCAGGCAACTAAAAGTTAGTTTCAAAGCCTCCAACTGATGATGCAATTCTTTTTCAATTATATCCTTGAACAAACATTTATCAAAGATCAAAATGATTCCATATTTTCTATAGCTATCTAATAGTTTTAGGAATTTTGCAGCAGCGAGAAAAGTCCCAACAAACAGCTAATCCTCTTTCCATTATCATGCAATTAATAGAATACATTTCACTGGAAAAAATCGAAATCTAGATAAGTAATTTTT